CTATTCCCTGGCTGTGTGGACATTAAAGAAACGACTTAACCTGAGTCTCAGCTTACTCACCTGTAAAATGGGGATAACAGTAATATCTCCTCGTGGGGTACCATGGGGATCCTACGAGAGAATTTGCTGGCGTGCATGGCTCAGAACCCAGCTTTTCATCTTCATCCTCATCACCTCGCCCAGCTTTCAGGAGTCACAGGTCTGAGCTGAGTCATGGTGCCTTCGGAGCCCAGCTAGAGGGTGGCGATCACTAGGGGCCATTTTAGAGGCTTCCCTTTACACCCATACCTCGTATCAATGGGCTGGTAGGTGGGGACTTGGTTGTTCTGGAAAGTTCATGTCCTATGCACAGGAGAGACAGATGCTTCTCCAGCCCGACTGCTGCCCAGTTGCCCAGGAATGCTGGCCCAGTGTTTATAGATCTTCTAGTTTTTAAAGAAAGCGGGAGATCTAGATTTTTACAAAATTCTCAGGATTCATAAACATCATCAAGAGATTTTTTAAAAAAACAAAAAAACTATGAGTTGGGTTGGCCCCTAGCAACCCACGGAACACCTATGACCAAAGCATTTTAACCCAGACAGGGTGGCTTCTTTGTTCCCACTTGGGTAGAGGGCAAAGGTCACCCCGGGCTTAGGGGTGATATGAGGATGAGCACCCAGTGGTACTCAGTGTCTCTCTGGTCGCAGGGCAGCAGTTCCTGCAGGGACAATACCAGAGGTGGGTGCAGGTCCACCTCCAGGGCCTGCGAAGGGCCGCGTTCCGGGGCTGGCAGCAGGTGGCAGCTCGTCGGAGACACACGGTGGCCAGGTCAGAGCAGCTCCTACTGCAGAGGTGGGTGGGAGGGTGGGGGTCATCCTCACCCCCAGAAAAGCAGGGAGAGTGCTCAGGGGTTGGGAGGTTGAGTTGCCTCTACAGCTCTAGGGATGTCCAGGCTAGAGGCCTGGGACCTAGAAAACGGGGGGCATGAAGGGAGACCCCAGCCTGGAGCCATAGAGCCATGATTACCGACCTTCCATTATTTATCAGCTTTGTGTGGGAGGCGGGGATGGCAAGCCCCTCCCCCAACCCGATGCCCTGACCAGGTCCACCCTTCGGTTTCAGAGAATACAGTTAAGATGGGGAGATCACTCCTCAGACACCCACCATAGTATGTCCCAACAGCATTTGTTGCTTGAGGAGCCAGCACGGGGAACTGCACTGTATACAGTGGCCGAGAGTGAAATCTTAAATAGAGATGTTCTAGTAAAGCATGCATATAGTTCATTAATGCACATTTAAAAGCAGAGGGCACAAACGATGCTCCCTCCCACTACCAGGTACAAGCCTGCGCTCACTGACGGTGTTCCCACAGACCAGCGATTTCTGCGCTTTCGCATCTGAAGGGCGTGGACATCTTTTTTGGCCTCTAAGGGAGTGGAGGACCACGTTCCCCTCACTGACCTTCTGCCCTCCCCAGAGCAGGCTTTTGAGGGGAGGCTGGGGTGGCTGTCCCCCCAGAGGAGCTGGGACTTGAACCCACAGCTGCTGGGTTCCCAAGTGGCATCTGCTCCCAACTGGCATCTGCCCCCGAGCTGGAGTGCGTGGGCCAAGGCCCCAAATGAAAGCCAGCACATTCCTGTTACACATCAGTCCCTGCATTTTTAAGGCACAGGGTTGAGTAGGCAGAACCATGTATAACCTGTGAGACTGTGTGTGGGGGCGGGAGGGGGCGGGCGGTGGCAGGCGTAATTTTGAATACACGTGATTTCTGACTGTGACAGCAGCTGGGCCCTCCTCTGCTCCTGTTTTGCAGCCACTTCCAGGCCTGGCGTGGACTTGCGAGACGTGCGCGGACACTCCAGGCCCAGCAGCAAGCTTTCCAGGATGGCCTGCGGAGATGGGCACTGGGGGCTGCATTTGCCATGTGGCGCAAAGGCCGAGTGGCCACAGCTCGGGCACGAGAGCAGCGTATGGCCCGGGCCTCCATTGCCCACTGGAGAAGCCACGTGCAGGGGCGCCGGGTGGACAAGCAGCAGAGGAGGGCCCAGGCCCAGCAGGCCTTCGTAGCATGGCGAGAGGCCCTGGGCCGGTACTGCAAGGCCCGCCAGCCGCCAGAGGAGAGAGCTCAGGCCCAGGCCCAGGCCCAGGTGGCCCTGTGCTGGACGCTGTGGGTGCGTGAGTCCCGCCTACACCGGCTCAGCCAAGCCCACGCTGCCCGGAAGCTGAGTGCCAGGTAGGTGCCCATAGGCTGAGGGTAGCCCCACACGTGCTTCCACTTTGGGCCTTGAGCTCGTGTTTGGCAGGGGTGGGGGGTATTTGGTGACTGGTGCCAGGGCTCAGGAGGCTGGGGTGGTAGGGAGAGGTGATCCTGGTCATTGCAGCTAGTCCTGGGGTTAATTAAATCTCAGCTCTGTACTTCCCAGCTGTGTGACGACCCCTCTTGAGCAAGTCTAACTTTAAAAGTCAGAGAAAGATAACAGACCTGCCTTGCAGAGATAAGGGAATGCAAACATTCAGCAGAGCTCAGGGCCAGGGCCAGATGACACAGCAGGGGCTCAACAAACTGGCTTTCTTTTGAGAAAAGGGGAGGCAAAGCAGAGCTGGCAGGATGGCCTCTCTCTGTCCCCTAAACAGGATGCTTGTCCCTGCTGTGTGATATTCTGCTGCTCCGTGTCCCTTTCAGTCTTATTTTTCTGGCAGAAGAGCATGGCATGGACTGTACCTGGAGGTTACCTCCTGCAGGGTACTGGCCAGGGCTGGGGAGGGCTCCCTGCATCTGCCATAGAGTCCAGGCCCTGATGGCCTTGCGTGTGGGCTCCTCCCTCTCCCCCAGAGTCCTAGAGGCCTGGGCACGGTCGGCAGCCCAGGGCCGAGTCCAGCGGGTTGCCATTGCCCAGTTCCAGCAGGCCGGGCTCAGGCTCCTCCTGCAGACCTACTGGGCTCAGTGGAGGACAGCGCTGCTCAGAGTGTGGCTGGAACCTCGGGTGGAGGAGGCCAGCACAGCCCATCCCAGGCCCAAGGCCCATCTCAGGCACCAACCTGGACTGGCGGGCAAAGGACACCTCCTTGTGCTGATGGATGCTGCAGCCCCGTGGAAGGTGAGGTAAGGCCCAGGTGGGGTAAGAAGTCCAAAACTGACCTGAGGGCCAATGGCCTCAGCATCAGCTTGTTTCAGCCCATGGTGGCGAGCAAGGCTGGATGCTTCTCTAGGGCCCCAATAGCCTTGTGGACACCACCCCTATCTGGTTCTTGGACAACCTTCTGGCTCTGGAAGACAGCCAACTCCAGTACCTACCAGTCCAGCTCAGGTCCACTTCAAAGATGAATGCTGGGGTCACAGTCCATCACAGAGACAGACACCTAAACTCATTACATGTCATGGTACAGTCTAGAATCAAGCTAGGTACAGGGAGACAGTAGCCATTTTTTGTCAAGTTCTTTTTTTTTTTTTCTTATTGGAAAAATGAAACATCTTCATTACAGAAAAACCAAAAAATACAAATGAAAAAAATTTTTGCATCTCTCTCTACCCACAGGTACCTGCCAGTCCCTGTCCAGACCAGAAGCAGTCAGTTCTGATACTAGCAAATGGTGACAAGAGCTTGATGGCCTAGCAGGAAGGAAGAAACCATAATAAACATCCATGCACAAGAAGTGACATGGCAGTCCTGGGACATGTCATTATGAGACACACAGCCCGAGTTACTGGCAAAGCCACAGAGTATTCCTGAAGATGAACTGGCATCATCCCGAATCCTTTCAGAATGCCAGGACGTGTCTGATAGAGACTCGAGAGATGCTAAGAAAAAAGATTAAAGTGTTCTTTTCTTTAATGGAATTGAAAGGGACTAGCTTTGGTGATTTGCAGAATCCACATATTCACATATGTGGGGCTATGGCAACAGCACATGCTGGCGGCTCAGGGTATATTATTTCTAGATCTGTGTTCTAATTTTATTTTCAGAGTATGTTTATAAACACTTCCCAAAGGCAGGCAGGGGTCCCGCTTACTGATGGAGAAACGGGGACTAGTAGAGACCAAACATGCTGGGAATGGCAACTGGGGTGCTGAATTCCAGGCGCCTCCTTCCTACCACACAGACATGTGCCCGGGCAGCCCTCACCTAATGTCACGAGCAGGTCCTCTGCCATTTCATGGTGGCACAGAGTCCCGGAGAGGGCTGCCTGTCTGTACAGAGCAGAAGCTGGGGGCTGGGGATCTGGGGTCAGACCACTCCTGAGGGGTGGGGCCTTGGGCAGATGTCTTAACTTTGTACAGTTTAAGCGGGACAGTAATACCCACCTCACAGGCTCTACCTGGCACAGGTAAGCTCTCACCGAGCGGTAGCTATCATTGATTCGCCCCGCTGCTTGAGTCCCCAGACACGTGGGATGATGGGAAACAGGCAGTGGTGTGGGCCAATGGCCATATTGCTGTCAGGCACCTTCTCTGCCTCCTCTGGGAGCCTCAGGGCTCAAGGAGGAGATGCGGCCACGTGAACCATCCACCTGTGCACACATGAGCAGGAGGCCGCGCTACCGGTCAGGGGGATCCCACCAGGTCACCTGGGCCCCAGGAGGATTCAAGTTTTCCTCTCTGGTTGTTCCCTCAGACCCGCAGCTGCAGGCTACAGGCCACAGGGCCCATGCTGCCTGACCCAACACAGCACTACAGCCTCGGTGGACAGAGGAAGTGGAGAGAAACATCCTGGGCTCGGAGTAAGGAGACCTGCCCTGGGGACAGATCATGTTTCAAGTGCAGGGTTGAGACAGATGCCAGCCCTCAAGGGTCTGGAAATCAGCTCTGAGCTCCTTGGAGAATCGGACATGGACCTGTGCTTTCTCCACCAGTTTCCTCGTTTGGAATATCTCAAGCATTTTGAGAAAGTAATCAGATTTCTCCTGCCCCACCTGTCATTTCTCTGCGGGCAGGTGTGGTGGTAGGACAGCATGGTGCTTAACTCAAGCCCTCTTCGTTACGCTCAAGTTCCAGGAGCAGACTAAGGGAGAGTTTGCCTTCCTGAACGAATGTGTTAACCTGTTCTGACTCGATTCCCCATTCCAGGTGACAGAGCACCTCCCCTCTGTCCCGACATCCAGCTCTGGCTGCAGCGGCCTGGAAGCGCCAGCTGGACCCAAGGCTGGCCCCCTACAGCACCAGGAGAGGACCGCACCTCTGAGACCAGTGCCCTCAAGGCCCAAGGCCAGGTGGATAAGAGGCAGCTGGGGTAAGAGCAGCTGCATGGAGGAGGTGGGGTTGGGGGCCAGGGCTAGGGGCTTGCCTGAGCCTTAACCAGAGCTGGGCCCATCTGGCCAGGGCTGGTTACTGCAGGATCCTGGAGGAGCGAGACCAGGCCGGGGGCTCTGCCTTTTTCCCTGGCCATGAAGGGGTCATGATGCTCTTGGCATCAGGATACACACAGGGCCTCTCCCCCGCCCCAGGAAGAAATACTGGCAACACTGGCGCCTCGAGGCACTGCTTCGCCGGCTCCAGGGCGCCCAGCAGGCCAGGTGCCTGGCGGCGACATGGCAGTGCTGGGTAGATGCTCAGGGGACGGAGGAGCTGGCACGCACGCTGGTGAGTGGGGGCTGCTGGGGCGTGCAGGTACCCGAGGCAGCAGTGGGGCAAGTTCGGGGCCTGCTCATCAACTGTCCCCACAGCTCAGGCAGTGGCACCTGAGACGGGCTTGGCGAACTTGGCGGCAGCGGGTCGTGCAGCTGAGGGTGGCTCGGCGACTACACCAACAAGATGATGGCTGGGTCCTTTCTCAGGTATTTGGTGGGGCAGCCCCTGTCCCCCAGCGGTCCCCTCCGAAACCGACACTGTACCTAGACACTTCTGAGCTGTGACCCTCCCTGCTTGGCACCCCCAGGACGCCTTCATTTTCAGGGGAAGAGTCAGTTCAGTCAGAGAAAACAGCTTGGATGCTGGAACCCTTGATTTCGCTGGTAGCCACGTGCTCGGCCCAGTCTCACCTGTCACTCAGACTGGGAACGGGCTTGGCCTGTGGCACAGCTCCCGCTCATGCTGGATTGTGTAGGTGCAGGGTACGAGCGTCCCTTCTCTTATTTGCTCTCAGCATAGCTTCCCAGATCACAAGACAGATCTATTCTGAGCCCATGCATTTGGCCTGGGGCACGGCTGGCGGGCTGGCTGGCTGCCTGCCCGCCTGGGGCGGACAGAAGGAGCTGGGCACAGGTGTTAGTCTAGCAAATAAAGCACACACCCAGGAGGGAGCTAAATAACCTTTTCTTTCCTCTCCCTGATCCCAGGCCTTTGAGAAGTGGCACCAGAGCCGGGCAGCCAGGGGTCCGAGAAGGGGAGCTACCAGCAGTCCGAGACCCGCTGAGCAAGGCGGGCATCAGGAGTCCTGACAGCAGGCTGCAAGCTGCCCGAGCCCCTGCGTGTGAACGGGCTCGAGGCGGGACAGAGGGCCCAGGTGTAGCTGTGACTTGTTCCCACGGAAAGAAAAACAGAAGTGAGCCCGGCCTTCCCAAGGAAGGCACCATGCCCCACGTTCCAGGAACTGCAGGCTGTCAGGCCGTGGGGTGCTCACCTACGGCCTGGTGATGGAAGGGACAGCTCTGTCCTAGCCATTCCTCTTGCTCCGTCTCCCGTGAAGGCTGCCTCTCTGCCCCGGCCGGCCAGCCAGGAAGGAAGATGTGCTGACGACTGCATTCACCTCCCGTACCATCGGCCTGCTCTTTGGACCCCCTCCTTCCGCTGAGCCAGCAGGCAGGGGCAGGGAACAGCCTGTGTACATCTGCCGGTCACCGCCTGGACAGCAGGGCTTGAGGGCTGACTCTTGGGGAGCAGTGCCAGGCAGACTCAGGGATGGGACAGGCAGAGGGAGGGAGCAGTTGGCAGGAGGATGTCGCACCTAAAATACAAGCCATAAGTCCTGCTTGATCGAACCTCACCTTTGCCCTCGGGAACACGCAGCAAGGTATCTCTCTGTGGCCAGTGAAAAAAGAGAAGGCCAAGAACTTCATCAGTCACAAGGGTTCAGACACCTTGAACTCTTAGATTCTTTCTTGAGCCACCAGAATACAAAGACAGCTGTTTCAACATCAGTCACAAGGGTTCAGACACCTTGAACTCTTAAGAGATTCTTTCTTGAGCCACCAGAATACAGAGACAGCTGTTTCAGAAAGCAGCATCATCGAAAGGTAGAAACCCAGCTGAGCTCTCGGGTGGAAGGCAGCAAGAAATGCTTGTCATTAGGTTTCAGCCCCAGACCCACCCAGGGCAGGGCAGTGTCTGCTGCTTTAGTCACAGGCAGGAAGTGCCCAGCTGCCAACGTCTTGGAGGTGGAAGGGGGCAGCGCCTTCGACTTGCTCCAGCCTTTCCACACCTCCTCAAGTGCCTGCTGCCCGTGTTCGCTTTGTCTGTCCTTCACAGGCCCAAGTACAAGGTCACTGGCAGTCCCAGGCCAGCTCCTAGTGGCTGCCTGGTGCGAGGGCTCAGTCAGCAATAACCAGCCTCCTTCCCTTCTCAGGGAGGACAATACTCCACCCAGCACAGTCCTCTGCAGGATGGAGGTGCTCCTCACAAGAGAGCAAAACCTCCCAGCTCCGCAGGGAACACCAGGCTCTTGTGTGGGGCTCAGGTCCGGCCAGAGCCTGCAAGCCTCACACCAGTCTAGCTGCCATCATCATGTGGGAGAGTAGAGGCCAGGGCTTGGGGAGAAGTGAAAGAGAATGAGGGTCCCCAGAGAGCCAGGACTGGAGAGGAAGGCAGGACACAACCGGCCTACGCTAAGGATGTCAGTGCAGGGTCACGGAGCCTCCGGCTGCCTCTCATCCGAGCTGGGTGTGTTGAGAAGCTCAAATGTGTCTTCTAACACCTGCCACAAGCAGTTGTCCAGCGGAAAGTCATTGTCCACCAGGTTGACCAGGAAGTAGTTGTCGTGGATGTACTGGATGATGATCCGAGATGGCGACTCCTCATCATACAGCTTGCCCCACTGCTCAATCCACAGGGCGAAGGCTTCGTCCTGCACGTGCACGTGTACACGGGTACACGCAGACACGCAGGCAGATGCACGTGGCCAAGCACAGACACAGGCGCAAGCACAGAGACAGGGACACGTACGTACGAGGACACAGGCACACAGGGACGAACAGTCACAGACACACAGGCAAGGTTAACAGGGCTGCCCGTGGGCCGAGCTGTCATGTTCGGCACCACAAGAGCCTCCACCACAGCCCAACAGGACACATCCGGGAATAGAACAAGGTCCACTGCCAGTGCCACCTCCCATCCCCCAGCCCAAAAATAAACACTGTGATTCAGACTCGGTGTAGCCAGGAGGGCCTAGTCCGCCAGTCCTGGGGGCATGGCCTCCAGCCACACACTGGGGACCCAGTGATACCGCCTACCCAAAGTTTTGGAGGCGGGCAGGGCAGGCCAGGCCCCCTTACCTTCCAGAACATGAAGCTGACAGGATCCACCACCGTTGGCTGGATGATCTCTCGCCCAGGGAAGATGCCCCAAGTGACTGCGTTGGGCTGCAGCTCGGGGGCGTTGGTGATGTTTTCACCCTGGGGGGAGGTGCCGCGTAAGAGCAGGTGGGACAAGGACAACCGCAGCCCTCTGAGTACCCAGGGAGGGCTCTGGCCCAGGCCCCCACCTGCCCCACCCTCCAGCTCGCAGCTCTGCGAGCCCCGAACTGAGAAACCCAGACCCCGGCATGTCCTTCCTCCGCTCTCTGCTTCCGTCGGCTCCATATCCAGCGGCCCCACTTCCTTCCCCTCCAATCTGCCCCCCGTGCCTAACCCAGCCAGGCTCTCTCTGTTACCCCACTACCCTGAGGGCCTAACTTTAGTCTTCCCCAGGCCTATCAGCCATCAGCTGTCCACTGTGACCGGCCAAAAATAAAACACGGAGCCAAGCCACTGCACTGCTGGGAAAGGCTCCCTCCTGCCTTCAGAGAAAACCCAAATTCCAAGCAGGGCCACGGAGACCCCCGAGGCCCTGGCCCCTGCTTAACACTTCGGCCTCACTCTGACCCCGGTCGGCAGGGTCATCACAGGCCTGCAGCCGATGCCTTTGCTCACCCTCTGCCCTTTCCCAGGCATGCCGTCCTCCTCATCCTTAAAGATTCAGGCTACTCAGGAGCCTCCAAGAAGCCTTCTGTGACCTCATGGGATAGCCATCTGTCCCCTGGGTCCCCAGCATCCTATACTGAACTACTACTGTCCTAATTATCCACTGACGAGCCTCCCTCACTGGGCTGGGAGCTCTGAGTCCGTTCTGCACAAGGCTCGGCCGAGACCAGGCGCCCAGTGACTGCTAGGTGGGGGTGAACCGTGGGTGCCCTCGGCCGGGCGTGCTGGCCCCGCGAAGCCAGCTACCTTCACGTCCACGATGTGGTAGTTGACGCGCAGCGCGTACTTCCTCAGCACCTGCAGAAGCGCGTGCACCGTCTCGCGGGAGGCGAAGAACTCCAGGTAGGCCTGCGGGGAGGCAGGCACCGTCACGTAAGCCCGGGGCCCTGCCGGACACCTCCTCCGTGTGCTGCTGAGTGTGCTGTCCGTGCACAGCAACCCCAGTCAGATGCCTGCCCCCGACCGGCCGGGACGCGCAGCGCGTACTTCCTCAGCACCTGCAGAAGCGCGTGCACCGTCTCGCGGGAGGCGAAGAACTCCAGGTAGGCCTGCGGGGAGGCAGGCACCGTCACGTAAGCCCGGGGCCCTGCCGGACACCTCCTCCGTGTGCTGCTGAGTGTGCTGTCCGTGCACAGCAACCCCAGTCAGATGCCTGCCCCCTGCCCCCCAGGGAGGGCGGGACCCACGCGCACATGTGCGACAGGACACTTAAGGCATCGAGAATAGCGATGGCCACGCACGTCAAGTCATGCGCTGTGGGGCTGGCGAATACAAAAGCAAAGGGGAAGGGAGCAGGTACGTGAGGGACAGGTCCGACAGGTCTGAGGGACCTATGCCACCCCTCTTCCCACTGGTCACGGAAGGCTCCATGGAGAAGCCACTTCAGAAGCTATACGGGAGGTCCAGTCTGGCAAGCTAAGGCTGCGGAAGCTGCCTGCCACATTCTGTCCTCCCTACTCACTGTGAGGGCTGCTCTAGCACCAAGCTTATCGGGGATTAAGCTGGCTTTATTCAAACTCCTCTGCTATAATGCTTATAATACTGCAGGGTGGGCCCCATTATCCCTATTTCACAGATGCAGAAAGTTCAGGGAGGGTGAGCAACTGGGCTGCACTGATGGAAAGCAAGGGCTGGTCTTGAACCCAGGTCTTTCTAACTCCAGAGCCCAGGGGGTTCAGTTCAAATGCAACTGTAACTCCAGCGGCCCCAGCAGCATGGTGTCGTAACAGCTCCCGCTTAGAGAAAGCTTCCTATGTTCTTCCCACATGCTAAGCTTTATGTGCTCTGCCACGACTCATCCTCAGAACGTGATGTGATAATATACCCCCATTTCACAGACGAGAAAGCTGAGGCTCAGAGCAATCAGGGGACGGGCCACCCAGGGCTGCCTGACTTAAGGCGGGAGCTCCTGTCCACTCTGATGCACGGCCACTCAGCATGAAGAGCCCGCGCAGAGGAAGGCTTCCCTCTCCCTGTCTCTGGGGCTCCCAGGTACCAGTCAAGGCCGCACCTTCTGGAAGACATAACCCCCGCTGGGGCCCCAGCCCACAACCGGGTCAGAAGATGGCAACCCGTTGACGTTGGGCTGGGAGTTGATGGTGAGGATGCCCCGCCGATTCACTCGCAGCAGCTCCTCCTTCATCAGGCTGGTCTCGGCCGCCAAGGGCTCGTCATTCCACGGCAGGCAAGTGACCTGAGAGAGGGCGAGCCGGGTAGAGGCGGTGATCGGATCTGGCGCCCTGGGTCCCTCCGTCTTGTGGCCCCGTCAGAGACACAGCCTGTCTCTGCTCCCAGGTCACCCTTCTCCCGTTGCTGAGGCTCAGGGTGGTGAGTCCCAGCCCCACGGTGTGGTTCACAGGGAGACGAGGCGGGGGGACGAGAGCAGGACCCCGCCCTGGCACCACTCACTTTACAGCCCTTCTGGTTGGGCTCCCCCGAGAGGTAGCGGACGAAGACCTCGAAGACGCTTTCCTCGCTGGCCAGCTCCTCCCCCCACATCTTCAGCAGCTCTTCCCTTGGGGACTTGCTCTTCAGGTAGAAGAGGTAGTAGTCCTTCAGCTCCCCGAAGGCTGGCGAGGAGGAGTTGCCCCTAGGGGAGGAGTGGACAGGGCACTTCTGACCTTGGGCTCTGTACAGAGGGACAGCTGTCCCACGTGCCAAGGGGTTCAATCCTGTGAACCCTGGTCCTCACTGCACCAAGGGCTCGGCAGTAAAATAAACGTGACTGTCTGTGAGCAGGACTGTGTGCGGGGTGGTGTGTGGGGCTGCGTGTGGGCCCGTGTGCGGGCCTGTCTGCGAGGCTGTCTGCGAGGCTGTCTGCGGGCCTCACCAGCGGCCGTTGGGAAACTCATCCCATTCCTGGGTGCGGTAGATGTAGCTCTTTGGTCTGGAGGCCCAGAAGATGGGACGCACATCTTCCTCCCTGCGCTTGGGGTGGGCGCTGACAGCCCAGGGCAGGAGACGCCTGGATGAGAACAGAGACAGGAGGGGCGAGGAATAGGTTATGGGAGCAGGGTGGAGGGGGCGCCACTGAGCCAGGAACCCCAGGTGTGCCACTAGTCATGGTGCATGTGCCACTAGTCATGGCGCAGACACCCACCCCCCTACACCCCAGGGAGCCAGCACCTCTAGGGTGCACTCTTTGTGGCTTCTGATGTCCTTTCCCACTATTTTTTTTCCCCACAGCTCCTAGGCCTGAATTCGGGGCTACTGGCCTCACCTCGGGTCTTCGGTCCACATGCCCAGGCGCTTCAGCACCTCTGTGGTGGCCATCTCGCGGTTGAGGGTGTAGAAGTGGAGGCCCGGCACCAAGCCACTTGCCAGAAGCTTCTGGCACAGGCTTACGGCCTGCTCGATGCCGTAGTTGCGGATGGCAGCGTCGTTGTCCTTGATGGGCTCGATGACGTCCTTCATCTGCTGTGGCACCTCCAGCTTGGACAGCTTCACCAGCTGCCGAAGGGAGTGGTAACCCTGCCCGAGGACCGAGAGGGCTGTGGGGCCACCTCCCAACCCACTTCTCACCCTACTTATCCCTCTTCCCACCCCCCACAGGGCCTTCTGGACAACTGCAGCGTCACACAGTAACCCGGGAAAGTCAGACCACACTGGACGCAGATCCTTGCCTGGTCCTGCTCTTTCTATTCTGCAGAAAGCAGCAGCTGCCCTGGCCATCCCCGCCACTGCTCTGAGCCAGCCCTTTGGCCCCCAGATTATTTATTGATGGTGAGGTCATCCGCCCCAGTGGCTCCCCAACCTCACGGATCATCAGAATGACCTGCGAAACTTCCATAATGTACTAATTCCCAGGCCCCACCCCAGATCTCCTGAAATCAGAACTTCTAGGCATGGGATCGGGAAATCCATCTTTTGAACAAGCTTACCAAAGAATTCTGATGACAGCCAAGTTTGGGAAACACTGATTTAACCAAAAATTATAATTAAAGTCATAATTCCTTGTAGTGACATTTGTCAGTAAGCCAAAGTACAACAAACTCCTCCAACAAGTACGGCTACTATTTTGTGGGGAGAAATTATAGCTAACCAAAATGGGGTGGAGAGACATCATTTTGCAAGGAGCATCTGCCGGGAAATCCAATAAGTGTCAAAGAACTTTACCGTGAACTCAGCACCTCACCCCACGGCCCTGGCCTGTGCTGGCACGGGGGGTGGAATGAGTCCATTAGCCCTCCTGGGACCCTCACCTGAATAGGAAAGATTCCAGGAAGGATGGGGCAGGTAATGCCTATCTCGGAGCAAGCCTTAACAAAATGGAAGAATGTGTCAGCCTCAAAGAAAAGCTGGGTGATGATGAAGTCGGCTCCTGCAGATACCTTCTCCTTCAAGTACTTCAGGTCGGCCTCAAAGCTCCCTGCGTCGGGGTGGCCTGTGGGGTAACCTGCCAATAGGGATGACAGTAGGGAGAGGCTGGCTCCACCTACTCAAGGTGAGTATGAAGAAACCAGAGAGCTGGGAACAGAGAGTTCTCCGCCTCTGGGGTCCCAGACTCATACCTGCCTACACCACCGCGCGGACAAGCTGAAATGGTGAGCAGCTGGGCTCACGATGGAAGCTTCTGGCAAGTGGCTTGGTGCCGGGCCTCCACTTCTACACCCTCAACCACGAGATGGCCACCACAGAGGTGCTGAAGCGCCTGGGCATATGGATCAAAGACCCTTGGAGATGACCTTGAGTGAGAGGTGGCTTAGAGCCACCCTCCCCAGAGGGGAGGCAGATTGCTCCAAACTCCCCACGCTGTCCTGCCTTGTGTCCCTTGCAATCAGCCAGGCAAATCAGGCCTGCATTTGTGGCCACGGAAAAGAGAAAATGCTACATTCAGCACTGGTTGGACAGCATTTGGGGTATTGGGCTTGACTCTAGGCCAGGGGTCCCCAGCCCTCAGGCTGCGGACCAGTACTGGTCTATGGCCTGTTAGGAACTGGGCCACACAGCAAGAGGTGAGAGGCAGGCAAGGAGCGGAGCTTCATCTGTATCTGCGGCCGCTCCCCAGCGCCAGCATCACCGCCTCAGCTCCATCTCGGATCCTCAGGCATTAGATTCTCACAGGAGCACCGGTCCCCAGTGCCAGAAAGGTTGGGGACCGCTGCTCTAGGCACTGTATTAAAGCAGTGCTTTTAACATTAAAGTTACTCAGAGACCCAAGAGAGTGAAAAGTCAGACACCCCACTACACAAGAACTAAAGAAAGCAGAGCTGTTTTGCTTGACGAAAAGAATAAAGAGAATCCAGCAACTATTTCTAAATGGCCAAAGGCCCATCATGTGGAAAAAAGGGTTTACCTTAGTCAAGTTCCTTATTAGTCATATTCTGTGATACTTCTGATGGCAGAACCGGGATCAGTTTCAGAGGCCTGACAAAGGACCGAGCAGTCCCACAAAATAACAAGTTCCTGGGACGTAAAACCTTTGGGGCAGCCAGGATGCCCATGTGCTGAGGGCACCAAGATGGATTCCAAAACTGGCTGGGAGGTGGGAGCAGCCGTTCCCCGGGCTCCTCGCTAGCTCCAGGAACTCGGTGACTGCTTCCCTAAACAACTGAACTCACGTGGCCAGGCACGCGCAGGAAGGCCATAGGCCTTAGTAAAACTGCAGGCAGAGCACTGGCTTCCTCCGCCTGAGCGCAGGGCAGGACCCTGAGCCAGGAAGGGGACAGACCTGAGACTCAGACCACTGGAAGTCACATGCTTTGCCGTGACAAGTCAGTTTCCGTTAAGAAACCCTGAGTCATCAAAAATGGGTGTAAAACGATTGTTTTAAGGGATGAGGGGTGGAAAGATTAAGCACCAGAATTTTATACTTTCAATAACAAGGCTGTTTTTCCAGTAGGAACTTCAGAAACAAAGAGGTCTTCATGGCTGAAACGCGAAGGCTATAAAACCTCAGTATCACCGAGCGGATCTAGTGTTTGCTCATGTTCAGATTCTCCTCTGCTCACCGTCTCCTCTTGCTGCCGTGGCCAGCTGAGTGCTTCCCAATCCACTGACCCTCACTCTCACCCACTTTACAATGAGCGATGCTCCAGACCACAGTGACTGTGTGCGCACAGGGCTGCTGGTTCCCACTCCTGACCATCGAATGCCCACTGCGCACGTGCACATCTCCCACCTCACTGGCTGTACTGTTACCTAATTCTCCGTCAGGGCTGCCCAGACTCGTCCACCCAAACACCCCTGTTTTCTGACAAAAGTTGAAATGTCCACAGGACCTGGCACTAAGTCCAAAGTCACGCGCAACAAGTAAGCTCCTTGAAACCACATGGCTTATTTTTTTTAATCCAGATCATTTTGATACATTACTCCATAAGGTAGCCGTGTTTGTTTAATATGCTTTCCCGCCCCAAATCTGAGAAAAACTGTCATGCCGAGAAGACGTGGCTAGGAATCCCCAAACTCTTGAGTCCCTGGCACACACAGCCTCACCATACCTGAGCCTCTCTGCTTGAGAAGCTGGAAGCCCCACCCCCACGAGCGGGGGAAGGAGGGAAGGCCGCCCCATCCGTTTGTTTCTAGCAGGTAAACCTTGCCTCCTGGCTGGAGCAGACAAAACAAGAGTTGAGCTGATCTAATTCCCTCTTGAGAATTTGGACTTACATTGAGACCTGTCAATCGGTCTGCGCTATTGGCTGGAACTGACCATGTGTACTCAGAAGCAGGAGGCAGAGATGCGCGATTCTGTGGCTCCAGAGAGAATGAGGGACGACCTTGGTGTCTGAGGTTTCTGACTGCTTCCTGGTTCCGGTGCCTAGTGGGATCTGGTACCGTTTCCTAACCTTGGGTTCTGAGACTCCCTGCCCCACGAAACCTTAATAAATATCTCTCCTTTGTTTTACAGAAGAATAGGCTGGGAAGCAGGCTAGAGAGTGAAATGGCAGAGAAACAAAAACTTAAGAGGTGGTGGCAGCCTAGGCAAGTGGCAGATGACACTGTATAATTCACCTAGGCACCACCCTCGTCCGGCACAGGCTCAGGCCCCTCGTGCACTGGGTTACTGGACCGTAAACTGAATATGGCTGAGCTCTCTGTGCCTCTCTGGGCATCTCATTCCTTCCTCTCTGTCTCTACCCACTGGGACGCTCCAGCCACTCACCTGCCACACAGATGTCAAAGTAGTCACCAAACTCGCTGCGGATATGCTTCACCAAGTCTGCGGCGTGGCAGAAGCCTCCTTCCTCCTCCTCCCACTGGTCACCTATGGGGTCTGCACAGCGGGTGGGGATCAGTCACTGGGACTCGCCTGATCACCAGGTAGTCCCTCCTCCCTACCCCTAAGCCCGGACGTGAGCACCTGAAAGGTGCTCATATTATTCCAGATGGTGCCTCCTCTTCCTGGCACAGCACCGGTAAGCAGTGGGAGGGAAGAGAGCACCCAGCCTGTCAGGTGTTTACCAAGCACGACTCTGTGGGTGCTGTGCTGGTGGCACTAGTCATTTAGTCTGGGGCGTCTAAGATCCGCCCCCCAAACCCAGGGATGTCCCAGCATCCTCATCCAACCCCACGGCTCATCTCCCACCCTCCCGGGAGAATTTTCTACTCATCTCGAGTGAGAAGTGGTCTTGCAGTGGGGAGCACAAGGCCACAAGATCCCAACCAACAGGCTCCCTCTTCCCACACTTGTGGCCCGATGACAACAGATGCCAGAGAAGCTATTTTTTCACTCCTAGGACAAATGCCAGGACTACGCTCTTTGGACCAAGGGCTGGGTGCGACCAGGGATCGGTGAAGATATGTGTAGCCGGGCAGAGGGTTATTAGGTACCGGCTGCATCCACGGCTCAACTATGACTCTCGCTCTGCAGTGCCCACGGTTCTCCCTGCCCACAATGCCTATTGATGCTACTGGCAAGGATGGGACCTGGAGAAAAGGAGCATTTCAAGGACAGAAGAGGCCTTAGGGAAAGCAAGACCCAAGACCCCAGAGGGCAGAGTGTCGGCTCCATACCTCCCCTCAACGCCAAGATGTTCTTCAGGCCCAGCCGCTTGGCCTTGTGCAGATGGCCTGTGATCTCCTCCCGGCTCTGATGGCAGCAGGTCATGTGCAGGATGGTCTCCAGGCCACAGTAGTTCACGGCAGTGCTAGCGATCACCATGGAGGAGGTCTCCTTGTCTGAGCCAGGGTCTCCTGCTGGGTGCCAGGTCACGTCTATGAAGAGGGGGCCGCCTGCCCCCATCCGGTCAAACCTGTAGGGAATTTCTTTCTAAAGAGGGGCCCCTGGGGGCATGCCGCCCTTCACTGCCTTCCCCTGGGGTCGGGGACACACAGAAGCATCGTAGCGGGGTGGAATCGGATTGACCTACCTTCCTATCCTGGCTGTGCGATCTTGGGAAAATTACTTAACCTCTCTGAGCCTCAGTGTCCTCACTTCCACAGTGTGACAGGGAACAGTAGCCACTTCATAATAACACTATGGGAATACTACGCTAGATGGCCCCACGGCTCTTAGGACAGTGCCTGGCACACAGTGAGCTGCTATTATTGTGATTACTCTTACTGAGGAAATAACATATAACAACAACGCAGCGATTCTGTGCGAGAGCAGCACTTCAGACCTCTCGAAGTGCTTGTATATTTATTATCTTGGGGGGAGTTAAGACGTTTCGATGGCTAAAGGTCGGGACCCCTCAGAGTGGTAAGCAGGGCCTTATTCTAGGAACAGGAGAAAAGAAGGTCCGCAGACATAAGTTTCTTTCATGCTGCCCCTCCCCCCAGTCCTGGTGCAGCAGCCAAGAGTCCTACAGAGCAAGGCCACAGTTCAGGAACTAGACTCAAGAGGCACGGGTGTGCACATGCGCACTGTGCTACGAGCTCGAACATGGTGTATTTAAACATCCTTCCTTGCGCTTTAAGCTTCAAACCTTGGGAGTGAAATATGAGAAGTGCAAATGGTAGAAAGCATAAACTTTAAAAAAGGAACTGCGATTCGTAAAGTGTTAACGTAATCCAGTTGGCATTTCTAGATTTCAAGAGGCAAAAATCCAAATTCCTAACTTGCTGAAAATGTTCTCTAAACTGCGGCTTTGTGACTTCCTAAACTGTACTCATGATCCAGTTCTGCCAAAGAATGTAGTCTGAGAGAATCAACATTTTTAACCCATTGAACAGTGTGGCTAAAAATCCAGATGCTTGGGGGGACTTTTAAAGAAAACTGAGAAGCTGCAGATCAAATGACCAACCCTGTCTTTATTTACTCTTGTCCGCCCGCTCCGGCTGCCTTTTTCTTCCAGGTCAAAGTGGCCCTGCCCCAGGACTGACAGTTCACCTTCTTCCTCTCCTCCCCCACTCGCACCCCCTAATCTGGCCCTAGTCCTTAACCTCACATCAACTCACCTCGAGATGAGATTGACAGCTCCCTGAGCAGTCCGAGGAGGAAAGAACTCTAGGGAGAACCATTTGTCACCAGATTCCATTCTCCGCCTCATCTTCTCCTTGAGTCTCTCATGCCGCTCGGGGTCCAGGCCAGGTGTGGAACATCTCGAACTATCCTTGGAGCTCTCACCGCCACTGCCGCTGCCCTCCGAGCGGAGGTTGAGGCTGCCATGCCCTCCGGGTTCGTTCACCATGGCCGAGTTTCTGCCGTACAGGATGGGGACAGTGGGAGTCAGAGGGCAGGAAGCCAGGCCCCGTAAGGGTGCGGTCAAGTGAGAGAGGTGCTGCATTCCCACACGCGGAAAAGGCACTGGGGGTGAGAGAGACAGCCCCCCACCCACTGGCCCCACACACCACAGCTACAACTGTGCGCTGTCAAAGCTTTTCCCTCCGCTGCTGCCTGGCTCCCTGCATGACAGCCCCCGCCCGGCATGGCAACATGCTCCTTCGGCCCATGGATCTTCAGTGACAGCTACCTGATGGAGGGTGGCACAGAGAACCTCATGCTGCCGGCCTCCCAGGCCTGCTTTCCCAAGGAGGGGCAGCGGTGCCGGGCTGGGAGGACCTGGGGTTTTGGATAGTCCATCTCTGCCAGCTTAGACCCAAAACAGGCTGGGAAGAAACAGAGGAAACTTCTCCAGCGGGTGTGTCTCAAATAGGCGGAGCTGTGACAAAGGAAGAGTTTAGAGCTGGAGCTGGGGCCTGCGCAAAAGGGAAGGTGGGGCGGGGGCAAAGGCCTCCAGGCGAGAGGGAGGGCTGAGGCTCCAGCTGTAGAGAAGGCAGATGGAAGGAGGGGGAACTCGGGCCACAGACTGCAGGGGTTGGCGGAGATGAGGCCAGACGTTCGGGGTCACTGGATCACTCTCCAAAGAAGGAAGAGCTCAGCCTGGCCCTGCCTGGAACATCTCCTGTTACTTAGAACAATTCGCGTGCAGGATGGAAGGGGTGAGGGCTTGACAAAGCAGCCAGACTTCTCCTGAGTTCACGCTACTCCAAAAACACCATGTCATGGGTTAGAACTTGACACTGGCTGGGTTCCAAAAGTAGCCAGACCCAAGTTTAGTAAGGGCATGAGTTTCTGTCCAACTCAGAACAAAGGCTGCCTTTCAGGAACACCACCGCTTGCATACACCGCTGAAGTCAGTTAATGACAGTGACCGCACAGCCACAACATCCGAAGTCCCGAGCCGTGCTAACCACAGGCGGGCTCACGGAGGGCAGTGCCTTTGAGCACTTTGGTGGGAAAAACAAGAAAAATACTTCAAAACTAAACAAAACACTACTCTTGCCCAGCAATGTACAAACACACAGTACTGAAAATCTGGTGTGTGGTGACATGGGATCTAGAGGAACAACCAGGCCAAGTTCATTCCTCTCAGGAAATAGCCACTGCTAAGCCAGCGTTCCTAACCATGTTGGGGTTCTAGAGTCTTGAAAAACTGATGAAATCCACTGCTTCTCTCTCCCCAACACACAAAGTGCACGTAACACACAATGACGCATCCAAAGTCAAGGAGTCGAGACAAAACTAAGAACGTTTGTGTCAACACTTCCTCCCCCTGGGGATGCCCGTTTTGATTTTGACCTAAAACTCTAGCTTCTCAGGGAGAATGGCCACTGGGAGTGAGAAAGGGAATAGTGTGGATAGCGGCTGCACTGGCCTTTCTCAGGAATTCAATGGAGTACCAAGGAACTGTCTGCCGGAACAAAACCAGGAGAGGGGGAGGAAGCGGAACCACCTACAAACCACACCGCTTTTTACTTACTGAATTCCTGGGATGTGCCAGCCCGTGCCCTCTTTCAACCCTTCTTCCTTGTGTCACTCCTTATCCATTTTAAGCTGGGCTCCCATAGCGCCCTGGGTTGTAATTGTGGGTTCGCAGGTTTGTCTCCCTTCCTTCCACCCAGTTCCCTGAGACCAGGTCGGTATCCTGCCTGTGATAGGTATCCCGGTATTCCGGTGGCTGGCACAAGGTAACAAGAGCCAGCACTAAGCGCCAAGGGTCAGGCGCTGTCACTCGGTTCTCAAAATAACCCTCTGCCATTTACTGAGCACTTACTTAATCGGTGCCAAGCACTGAGCAGTGCGGGGATACGGTGCCCACCACTCCTAGGAGACAGAGGTGGGCACCTGTGCGTAGCCCGACGCTGTGGGCACCGGGGACAGCAGCGCCAGCGGCCCACGTCTCTTCTCCAGATGGACAGCACGGAGGCAGGTTTAAATGACTGGAGCCAGAAAAACCCCTCTGGCGCCCAGGTGGCTCGAGGGCCGCGAATCGGGTCACTGGGTCACGGGGACGCGGAACGAGGCCCAGTCCCAGAGGCGTGGGTCGCCCCCCGCCCCCGCCCTCCCGGCCTCCGTCAAGGCCGGAGGCCGACAGTGAGTCTTCGCTTCGTGGTTAGGAGTCGCTGGGGGTGGCAGCCATTGGGTGTTACACTAGTTCTGCGGATGAAGCGCCCAGAGGGGGCAGAGAGGCAAGGCGGCCTCCGCTGATGTCCACCCACAGGCAAGTCCCCGCCTCAGGTGGTGGTCCCCAGATGCTGGGTCGTTCCATCCGGTAACCCCAGGCCTCGCCATCACTCACCCTGCTGTCGCAAGTGACTCAGAGCGCGCACGAGCCGCAGCTGCGCGGTCGCCGTGGGGACGCGTGCGGATGGGGCGGGGCGCGCAGGGGAGGTGCACCGCCCCGGAGTCTGTTGCTAAGGGAAGCGGGACAAGGAGGCGGAACCACCCACGTGGGTGACCGAAAGCCCCGCCCCCAACATGGCCGCGCCCAGCGGTCTCGTTGGAAGCCGTCCTACCATCGTCATGTGACGCGAGCCCTCGCCCCACCCGTCTGCAGCCACTCCCTGTCTCCGTCCCCAAACTCGAGAGGGCCACGTGACCCTCCCGGGGCCAGTCACGTGAGGCGCGGATTCTGGGTGGGAGGGGGTTGGCTCAGGGGTCCGGAGTGGCAGTAAAGGAGGAAGATGGCGGGGTGCCGGGGGTCCCTGTGCTGCTGCTGCCGGTGGTGCTGTTGCTGCGGTGAGCGTGAGACCCGCACCCCGGAGGAGCTGGTAAGGCTCGGGCGGAGCCGGGCTGGGGAGGGGGCGGTTGCTAAGGGAGGCGAGAGGCGTTGCCGGAGGTGGGGCTGGGCAGAGCTGGGCCCGCAGGTGGCAGCGGGTGGGGCCTGGGGACCGCAGTCTGGGCTCCCGAAGCATCTTCCCTGCTTCACGCGCCCAAGTCTGGAGTCTTTTCTCATAACTCCTCGCTGGAATCTGAGAGAGAGTCCAGGCCAGCTCCAATTAGCCCCTTATATATTTTCTTTTATTTCCATCTGAAAGGAGTTTTGAATGAAACAAGCATTTTTGGAACGAGCCTTTTCACTGGACTTTGTGCTTATCGTGCAACTGGCTTAGTTTTTCCAGACGTTTTTCATTCTATCCCTCACCTTTTCTGGGTCACTGACAATCCAGCTTTCCCCTGCAAAGCACTCTGGGAAAACTTGAGCAGCTGTATCCCCAGAGTTGACAGGTCCCTTCTGATTCCAGATTCAGCACATTATCAGATGGAACCTGGTTTCCCTCCCCCTCCCACCCCTTAAGCTGGCAGTGGACATCTTTGAGGTGTCCTGAAGAGTGGTTATTTGGGGAATATATCAGTACAAACGAAGAGCTCAGCTGGGTCCCCACCCACATCACCTCCTATCCCAAAAGGGTTTTTTTTTTTTTTTTTTTTTTTTTTTTTTTTTTTTTTTTTTTTTTTTGTCTTATTCCCATTGATGATAATGGCACCAGATGATTTAGAAACTAGCAACTGATTTCAGTAAATACTTCTGCCTCATTCCACTTTAACCATTAAAAGGGTCTTCCCACTGTGGATCTGTTTTTCTAGACCATCCTTGGAGAAACACACGAGGAGGAGGATGAGATCCTTCCAAGGAAAGACTATGAGGTGAGATTCTTAGATGCTGTCTTGAGTAACAGAAGTAGTGAATGACCTGGTCATTTCAGACCAAAACATTAGCATTCCAACCAGAGGTGTTTTTTGACCTCTCCCACAGAGTGAGCAGGTTAACTCTCCTCTGGGAAAGGGGCTGTTTAACAAGGCCTTTTCTCACCTCAGTTGCAAAACAATGTCTGGGTGTCTCCATGTTTTCATAGATCTATGGCTCCTTAACCTGGATAGAGTATGTGTTTGCCATTAAACACTTTCTTTTACAACTCATAGAGACCTAGAGTCGAAGCCACTGACAGTGTATGCTCGTAAAAGGTGTGGGGCAGTAGACCTTTCTCCTCTTCTGATAGAACTTCATTTTTAGAAGATTGTTACTTGCTCAAGCAGCTTCTCTCCGAAATGTTCTTGTTTGTAGTTCCCGATTTCAAGTATGGAACTCTTTGAGTGTGTATGTTTAGTGAAGCCAATCCTACTGAAGTGAAACTTAACACATGACTTTTGAATTATGCAATCAGTTCATGATGACTTTTTTATGATTGTTGAAGTGACAAAAACAAACCATGGTTGTGATAGAAGATTCTTAAACAATTTATAAAATGATGCTAGAGAAAAACCCATAACCTCATTCAATTAAAAGATGACTCTTACTACCCTTATTAAATATGCTTTTTTATGCCTGCATACCTACCTTTTTTAAGTAACCGCAGTGAGATTCTACTAAATATTTTAACCTGTTTTTCTCCCCACTCGATAAGACTCTTTGTATCACTAGATGCTTTTCTACAATATTTTTAAATAGGAGAATAGTGTTTAATCGTGCCACAGTTTGTTTAATCTGACTTTTCTTTTTGATGAACTGCATGATGGTGGCCATCCTTCCTTGTCTGTCCTTAAGTACATCCTTAGGATTAATCCCAAAAAGTGGAATTAATCATGCATATTTAATGCTTTTTTGAAAATGTCATGTAGACGTAAACATTCAGTAATCTAGGGCAACAACATACTCAGGCTGGTTTTATTAATATTTCATCTTTTGCTGCAGAATTCAATGTAACTATCATAATTGGTCACATAGCATGAAATTTAAAAGACTTTTATTACAGAGAATTTCACACGTATACTCAAGTAAACGTAATAGTATTGAAACCTCCATAGTCATCACATAGCTTCAGCAGTCATTCAGCTAGTGCAGGTCCTCGTTGCTCCCATCCACTTGCTTGTCCACTGAGAGTAAATGCGTCAGGAGGCTTCACTAGAATTAAATGACAATGTTTTATTCAAGAGTCTTAAGATCTGCAAATCGGAAACACTACCAGAGCGTTCCGAAGTAAAGAGAAAAGTTGAGAGTTCTGACAAGTAAAAATTACAGTTCTGAGAAAAATCAGCCCTGCATTCTTAGCTTCTGGATTGGTCTGAGATGGTGATCTTCCAGATGTCTGGATATTTGAACATTCTTTCCTAAGTTCTTCAGAGAGTTACTCAGTTACCCAGAGCGGGGCGAGAGAGAGAGAGAGAGAGATCACCTGCCATTGATGTACAACTGAAAAGTTCGTAAGTTTAAGTCCTCAGGCTCATTAAAGTAAAATAAAATCTGTTCCTCATGTTTCAGCCCACTCTGATTTTGGTAATTTTGTTAACTTGGCTATGATGACTCCATTTTGTTTTTCACTCTTCCCTCGTTCCACTTCCCATATTATTTTGAAAGAAAAGTCTAAACATCACAGCATTTTATCCATAAGGACTTGTTTTTAGCATAGCACCATACCATTTACACACTTAAGAAATTAACAGTAATTTCTTAATATCAGATATCCAGTGTTCAAATTTTCCCGTTGTCTTATAAATTCCATATGTATTTTTTAATAGTTTGAATCATGTTCCAGATAAGGTCCTCACACTGCAGTTCTTTGATACATGTTTTAAATTTCTTCTGTCTGTAGGTTCTTCCTTCATCCTTTTTTTTTTTCCTTGAAATTTACTTGACAGAATAATTTTAGGACTCTGAAATTTGCCAATCACACCACCATAGTATATAGATCAATGTGCTACTCCGATGAGACTTCTTTCAATGAATCAGAAAGCACGACACCAACTGATGTATTTTCTCATATTTCAAAAAATATCTGTTTCCTGTGCATAGTTGAGAGGTTTGCAAGAGTTAATATAAGACACTCCATATTGTGCTGTCACCTCATTGAATCTGGAGATATCCTCACTGTGTTACTGTGACTGAAACTCAGCCTTCCTCTTGTTCCTGGGGGCTCACCAGCTTCTCTGCTTCACGGGCCCTACTGATCCCACGGCTCTCCTATGAGTCATTAATATGTCTTAATTAGCCATCTTCTGACTTAGAGCTTCTTGAGACCATTTGCTTTGTGTAAGACCAAGTTCGGTTAGGCACTTAATCAGAAAAAACTGCTCAGATTGTATTTATTAAGGCTCAACTAGAAAACCTTTTGTTGGAAATCTTTCTAAAATGTGCTCTTTGCCTGTGTAAGATTTCATTGCATATACTTGACTCTTTCTTTGATAAGCTGGGGGTCTTACAAGAATCCCCTTTTTGACATCCATTCTCATAATTGGGTTGAAGAATAATAACTCCCTTTTTTAGGACTGTGCCATTACCAAAGAGTAATGTTTTCATACAGGTCACAGAGCCCTAATTGCTCTTTTCAGTTAGAAAAAGGCACCCCTTAGAGCAGAGGACTTAAAGACCTACCCTTGTGGGCCATAACGTCGCCTCTAGCTCAAGGCCTGCTGAAGGTACCTTTTGTGTGAGCACTAGGTCCCCTTCCTGGTAGAATTTGGGTTGCAATTCATGCCCCACGTGCCTCCATGGCCAGGTGCCATTTTGCTTATAACCACTGGCAGCAGCCTTACAGGGCACCTGCAAAACTTTGTTTAAAAAGTTGTTAATCCCACAAACCAAAGAGCAACATATACAGCAGAAATAAAAGGAAGTTAGTCGTGGTGAAAGAGAAGTAACAATATCTGATTTTAATAACAGATCCTGTAGTCCCTTGGTACATATTTACAAAGTGTCAGGCTCTCAACTGACTTATTAAAAAAAAAAAAAAAAAGATGATATCTTGGCCTGGCAGTCATTTGTAAATGCCCCTTTAAACAGTTTTATTGAGCCGTAATTCACATACTAATACAATTTACCCATTGAAAGTGTACAATTCAATGGGCTTTTTTTAGTATATTCACAGAGTTGTACAGCCATCGCCAAATCATTTTTAGAACATTTTCATCACCTCAGAAAGAAACCCTGTAACCATTAGCAGTCACTGCCCATTTCCCTGACCCTAGGCAACTGTGAATCTACTTTCTTTCTCTACAGATTTGCCTGTTCTGGACATCTAAAAACCTTTTAAATGGTTGTGGAGTCATAACATTATTAGACAAAACCATCAAGCAAATAATCAATTGACTAGTAATTTACATAAATATTTGGTATTGAGGATATTCATATATTTCAACATTTTAATTTTTTTCCTTGTTTGTTCCTAGAATGTGATATTACTCACTTGCTCAAAACATACATGCTTCATCATTCATGGATGAGTCTCGTTTTCCAGCAGAATTCCTTTTTACTGATGGTGGTTTTTTTTTTTTTGTAATCAGAAAATTTTTTTTTTCAACTATAAAAACTACATCATGTTTGCTATGAAAATTTCAAAAAATACCCAGATGTGAACACTTCCTAAAACACACCTCAGAGATAATCACTGTTAATAGTTTTCCCAGATGTTTTTGCTTTACATAAGCTGACATACAAATAATCTTAATTTTGTTTACTCAAGATGGGATGATATTATACCACAATGTAACTTTTTTACTCATTTGTCTTTTTCAGAGTTTGGATTATGATCGCTGTATCAATGACCCTTACCTGGAAGTTTTGGAAACCATGGATAATAAGGTGAGTCCCTTATAGATTTCTTGGGACTGAGTTGGTCTTATGACAGCGTCTTTTTCTGTTCTAAATGCTCCGGTAAATACCCTTACCCCCTGGCCTTTTAGTCCCTTTCATGAAATACCTTAGCCCTTCATCTTGCCGAGCAGAGTACCCACTGGCCTAGCCCCTTAGAGTTCATTATATTTGCATTGTAAAGCACCCTCTCTGTCAGACATCATCTTTGCCATTTTTGCTGTCCATGCGAAATTTACTCTAAAACTGGTTGACCAAAATGTGTTCCTTCCCCACTGTGAACATAACCCTGTAACAAACTGAGTCATTCTTTTCCTGTGTGAACAGAAGGGTCGAAGGTATGAGGCGGTGAAGTGGATGGTGGTGTTTGCCATCGGAGTCTGCACTGGGCTGGTGAGCAGGCGGGGCACTGGGAGATGGCTGGCCGGAGGGGCGGAGGGGGGTCAGGGCAAACTCCAGCCTGACGGATAACTTGTTTGTCATTGTAAGAGATCACGTTGTCTGTTTTCCTTTTTCTTTTTTTTAAATCAGTAACCTGATACTGTTGTTCATACTTCTCTTTTGCTTCTACCTTATGAAATGAAAGTGAGCCCTACAACTCTGATGCTGTTTAAAGCACTCGAGGTTTGGTCAGGCCCTGTCTCTGTGGTACGGTATGGTCTTGTCAGGTAGATAATGTAGCAAGGAGGACGCATAGTGTGTCTTGAGGTCACTCTCTAGGGAAAAAGCAAAAAAGTGGGAATAAAACCAAACACTATGCCCTTTTCTTTAGCATTGTATACCAGTACGCAGGACACCGTGGATCTCGGTGAATTTACTGTGCCGTCCTGGGCTTCCCTGCCCATCGCTCATTTTATCTAGAAGGTAGAGCAGTTGTGGGCAGAGGAGGACCTGAATGCACAGGGTTCTGGGGCTAGCACATTCACAGATGAGATCACCGACAAGTAAAGATCGCGAAACATTGCCAACAGTTAACGTAGCGCAGCATCTGGAACCATAACTGCCGACTTACTGTGGTTAAACCTGGGGGAGAAAACCTGGACCAGTTAGCAGGCAAAATGGTACATGTCAAATCTGAATTTCCATCCATACAGTATTAGAATAGGGAGTCGTCTTCCTCCATTCAGGAGGCTATAACAAAAATACCGTGGACTGGGTGGCTTAAACAACAGACATTTATTTCTCATCATTCTGGAAGCTGGGAAGTTCAAGATCAAGGTGCCAGCAGATGTGAGTCTGGTGAGGGCTCCTTCCTGGTTCATAGATGGTCACCTTTTTGCTGTGTCCTCACATTGTAGAAGGAGGCAAGAGAGCTCTTTGGGGTCTCTCTGTTTCACTCTGTTTTTATCCTAGTAAAATTGGTCTACAAGATGACATATATTTCGGGTACACAACACTATAGTTTAATGCTACATAGTGTTCATCACTATAAGTCTAGTTACTGCCCATCACCATACAGTTGATCCCCTTCACCTATTTCGCCCACTCCTTAACCCCCTTCCCTCTTGGTGTCTCTTTCATAAGGGCACTAATCCTATTTGTGAAGGCTCCACCCTCATGACAGAATCGCCTCCCAGAGGCCCCACCTCCCAATACCATCATATGGGAGGGTAGCATTTCAACATGCATTTGGGGGACGGGGACACAAATATTTAGTCTATAACAGGGATTTTACGAGTTCCTAAGCAGAAGCCTGTTTCTCTCCTTCCTCTGTATGGAATTGACCACAAGTCTTGCTTAACTCTACATGATATACCCATAGGGCGTAAACACATATTTGATATAATACAGCCACAAGGACCGAACCGCCATTTTGATTTTCATGGCACTGGTCAGATTTTTACTGTAGTAAATTTAGAGGTGAAGGAGCATCTTTCTAGTTAAAACAAATGGTATGTAGAGGCCCCTTTAGTGATATTCTAACAGATACCATTGTGAGGGCAACTTGGGTTGGTTTAATTGTTTTATGGAAATTTCAGAGAGTCTGTTTTGCTATTATGGTTCTTATGTCAGACTTCCCGTAATAGGCAAAATCATTAACTATCTAGGTATCAGTCTCTCTGCTACTTTCATGTCAAACTCCTTTGAACTGTCACTTGCCAATACCAGCAACTTTACCTTGCGCCCTCCTGTTATGGGAAGGCAGACCTGCCTTTATGACATAGCAACCTCATGCAGCCGGCTCTCCTATCCTTTGATCTGTCACCTCTTATTGCTCCAGTATTTAAAAGCCCCCGGGCACCGGCTTGAGGGAAGTCTAGCGTTAAAGGAATGTAACCTTTGATCCTCAATCTACAAAAATGGAAGTCTTCCAGTTCTCCTTTAAGCCCAGAGCAGGGACTTATGAGAGTGGAATAGTGGAACCGGAGAGGTTTTTCTCTTACTTACCTGAGTAACCATGGACTATACAAGACGGTTGTAAGTGAAAATAGTGACTTTTAATATATATGATAGTAATAACATGCAGAAGCCATATACACCTAAGCGAATGTTGGCATTCACAGTAATATCCTAAGCTGTACGCTTACCCAGCTAAGCATCACTGAAGACATTTTAGAGTGTTTCTTTGGAAACTGCCTTCGAAGAGAGCTGAGCAGCCCCTCACACGGCTCCACGTTGTTGCTCCCTAATCGCGGGTGACCTTTCTTGGTCTCACATCTTTTTCTGCATCTTTTTTTCTCTTTGTTTTACTCTCTTTCTCTCAACGTAGCTGTACCCCGCTTCTTCTGTTCTTTGGCGGGTGGTGGGGCCAGGCTGGAGCGGGGTCTCCTGGAGAAAGCAGAATGACCAGCGAGAGCCCACTCACCACATGCTGGTTGGTAACGCGGGCTCATGTGACCAGCCGCCAGGATGCAGTGGGGGCGGTCAGTGCTTTCGGGGTCACTGCCTGTAGCACAGCGGGGAAGAGCTGTGTGACGGCGCCCTTGCTCTTCACAGGTGGGTCTCTTTGTGGACTTCTTTGTGCGCCTCTTCACCCAGCTCAAGTTTGGAGTAGTAGAGATATGTATCCTTTTCACGGTTCTCGGTGTTCCCAGACGTCAGCCCTGGATTGCTTTCTTGCCTAGAAATGAGTTTAACAGGAGATGTGATCTACAAAGAGCTGTTTATTAGCCATTTGGCTTTAAGGTTTTAAATTTTTATCGAAGGACACAAAAGGAGCACTTTAATAAATAGAGGTCCTCATATTCATGGTTGGTAAGACACAAACCACCAAGATGCCTGCTTTTCCCAATCAATCTATAAATTAATTCAATGTCATTCCAATGAAAATTCCAATAGAATGTTTCATGGAACTGGAAAATTCTCTTCTTAAATTTGTTTGGAAAGAGTAAAGGGCCAAAGGAAGTTGAGATAGTTTTGAACAACAAGCAGGGGAACTTGATTAGATGTCAAGACATATAATTTAAGAGGTAGCAATTGAAACGGTGTCGCATTGGTGCGGGAACACCCAATTAGACAGTGGAAAGTATTAGGGAAGCAGAAACTGCCCTGTACGCACGCAGAAGTGCAGTGAATGACAGAGTTAGTATTATAAATCAGTGAGGGAAAAGTGGATTATTTAATAAAAGATGTTGAGACATTGGTTATCCATCTGGAAAAATATAAAATTAGATTCCTACTTTCTACTATAAATTCCAGATGGATTGAAGGTATAACCAGGCAAAACAAAACTTTAACAGACTGTATGATTCCAAGAATAGAGAATTATTTCTTAAAACTACAGAAGGCACAAAGTATAAGGGAAAAGATTGGTAAACTTGACCAACAGCAAAGTAAATATTTTATTTATACAAACAAAAACCCCAAACAACAATAAAACACCATAAACAGTGAAAAACAAGTCCACAGCCTCAGTGAGGTTATTCACTATGCATTTAAGAGACAAATAATTCATATTCAGAATATAGGAAGAACTTCAGCTCTAAGAAAAAAAGCCCAAACAGCCCAATAGAAAAACTTGCAAAGGAGGCAAACAGGCAATTCCCAGAAGAGAAAAATTGAATGGCTCATATGTAAACCTATGGAAAAGTGCTCATCTCACCACTAATCGAGGAAATGAAAATTTAATAAATAGGAAGGTACACCTTCCTATGACTCATGATCTCCTCTCCCAGCCGTGAGCCTCAGACATTACAAACATGTTCATTGCAGCTTTTTGATTGCAAGAAGTTGGAATCACACACCAAATGGGGAAACGGAAAATTTCTGATATGTTCATCTAATATAATTTTATGCAGAAGTTAAAACGAGTGAACCAGAACTATGTATCGATCGACCTGGCTAATTTTCAAAAACTTAATGTTGATGTAAGGAAAAAGAAAAGTTGTAGCATGTGCCAGAAATGCAATACCATTATTTTAATTTCAGAAACATATGGAACAGTATGGACACATGAAAATATACAAGCCTTAGCCTAAAAATAAAAACCAAGTGAAAGTCAGCAAGCATTTATTTGAGATTCAAAAGTATAGCTATTTGAGAAGCACTGATTCAGGTGATGGTGATAAAAGGCAAAGGCAAGGGGTATTTATGTTAACGGGAAGGGGAACAATTACATGAATGAGGAAGAAATTTCTCTGGGTGTTAGTAAGCTAGGGAAGGAATTTCTGTAAAATGCGAGTAAGCTAACCTAGTGATGCTAATTCTAAAGGAAGTTTAGAGTGATAGTCATATTGTCTGCTTTCTTGTTATCTTTGCAAACAATTGTCTAGAATACCTGCTGCTTTAGGCCTAGTCCAAAGGTTAATTTGCCCAGTTTTTACATTCCAAAGGTCTGAGAAGATGGGCAGGGCAGGCCGTCTTGGATGACAGCTCTGACTCCATTTCAAAGTGGCTTTGTTTATATTATTTTTCACAGAGGGAAGAAGGATGCACAATAATTTCAAGTTAGTTTCTCCCAGGGGAGAGTGAGACAGAAACATTGTTTTTTGGTTTTTTTGTTTTTTTTGTTTTTTAATAGCACTTAATGTTTTAATTTTTAAAACATATGTAGACCAAACATGGAATCACGATGAGATTCGTTAAAGCTCAGGCTGTGGGCGTACAAGGTTTTACTTTCTGTAGTGTTTGAAGCATTTCATAATTAAAAAGGATACTTAATGTAGATGACATCTCAGGCAGTTTTTATGAAATTTCAGAACAGGAGAAGCTGCCCCGCTTCGGGTGGTTGCAGGAACACCCCGGCTGGTGAGCAGGTTTTCCTTAACCCAGTTTCTGTAGCGGTGGAGGAATGCAGCCAGAAAGGCTGCCTCGCCCTGTCCCTTCTCGAACTCTTGGGTTTCAACTTGACTTTTGTCTTCTTGGGGAGCCTTCTTGTTCTAATTGAGGTGAGGTGGTGTGGGTGCTACCTTTTTGCTTACGAGGTTGGGGATCCTGCATTTCTTTACTCCATCTCTATTTCTGGAATGTCAGAGAACTGAATTAGGCTTAGACTATAGATTCCTGCAGAAAGTGGCCTCTTGTTCACTTGGAGATGTTTCTGAAAGTAAAGGTCACAGCCTCTGGTGAGATCGCAGAGGGAAAATCTACAATAGGAGGGTGGTTCTTCATCTTGGGAGCACGTTGGAATCACCTAGAGAACTTTAAAAATGACTGACTCCTGGGTACCAGCTCAGATGAATGTGATCACAATCTCCGGAAGTGGGGTGCTTGTATGGATTGCTGAAAGGCTCCTCAGGTGATACTGAGTCACCAAGAGCTTGTTAGAAAGGCACATCCTCCCATGCCCCCTCCGACCTACTGAGTCAGAAGCCCAGGGTGGGGCCAGGCATCCGTGTCTTCACAGGTCTGCAGGGCGATGCTGATGCTGATGGGGTCAGTTCGCCATCAGTGTGAGGTTGCCGAGGGTCGGCCGGAGGGCCAGTCTGTCTGAGTGTGTGGGCGTGCGGAGGGCCAGTCTGTCTGAGTGTGTGGGCGTGCCTCCTCTCCCCCAGCCAGTGGCAGCAGGTTCCGGGATACCCGAGATCAAATGCTATCTGAATGGCGTGAAGGTGCCTGGCATTGTCCGTCTCCGCGCCCTGCTCTGCAAAGCCTTCGGAGTGCTGCTCAGCGTGGCTGGAGGTGAGGATGGCCTTTCTGACTCTCACCGGCAAGTATTCCAGGGATGGAGATGAGAAGCGTATGTGTGTAAATGAAGGGGATGGGGATTGGAGGGCCTGCCCTCTAACAGATCTCTGCACTTTTTGTTGATCAGTTGTTTTTTTAAATGCAGACACTTTTTGTAAGTTTCCACTTAGAGAGCTTTGACAAATTCACCATTCCGTTTTAAAATAAAATGACTAGAGTTGGTTATGGACTTGGCTTTAGCAAGGTCAGTGAGCTTTTTGTGTTAACAGCTAAATAGTAACTATTTAGGCTTTGTTGGCCAAGAGGCAAAATGGAAGATATTATGTAGGTACTTAAACTTATATAACCATCTAAAACGTATCTGTGTAAGAATATAAGAAACATTTTGAGCAATCTAGCTGTACAACTTGGCCCACGGGCTGTAGTTTGCCAATGCCCGATTTAGAGTCTAAAGAATGTTTTATCTCATTTGATGGGAATTCGACTCACTTCCTTATAAAGTCATATGATCATCTCTATTTTGTAGTTGTCAAGAGAAAGGTTTACGCAGCAGAGGTCTCCTGACCCAGAGGTGGTTCTGTGCTGACTGATGGCTTCCCTTCTTTACCTTGTCCCAGGGCTCTTTGTGGGGAAGGAAGGCCCCATGATCCACAGTGGCGCGGTGGTGGGTGCTGGCCTCCCTCAGGTAAGGGCTGATGGGCTGGGAAGGTGTGTCCCCCTCAGTGGCCTCCCAGGCAGGGGCATGTCCCAGAGTCGTGTCTGTGATCTCATTTGGAAAAAGTCCATTGGGAAAACCCCACCCTAACATGACTTTGGAATCTGAGTCATTGAGTCGATGTGAAAACTACGTGGCCTGTCTCCCAGGGGAGCCAGTAACTGGTACTTTGAAGTTTTAACGAGGCCCTGCTGAGTCTTAGGAGCAGTGATGGGGCATAAAGTCCATTCAGATGAAAGTTGCCTGGTGCTCCCACGGCTTTTGCCCAGCGCCTCCTCATAAGGTGGCTCAGCGGGTCAGCTCAGTGCCGCCAAATCTCAAGAGGCTAGAAGCTCCACTGGGGTGGTTCTGGGCCCAGGGCTGCTGACTCCACCTGAAGGATCACAGGAATAATAACAGCTGGGCCAGACTCCTTTTTTCTCCAAAGCCATCTCAAGGGTTTAGTTGTCATCCTCATGCTCAGAGCGGGAGACTAGGGCTTGGAGAGGGTGAGGAGCTAGCTCAGGCAAAGCCCCCATCCTGGCGGGTGATTCCAGATTCCGGGCTGCAGGTTTGAGAAGCCTCAGTTCCTGTGATCCATCACCTGTTGACTGTACCTCTCACGTCCCAAGGGGAGGGAGCACTATCCTGTGATAGTGGTCAAAGCCGGGGAGAAGAGGTTCTCGTCCAGAGCCCGTCTTTTGCTCTCTCTCTTGCTGCTGCCTCTTCTCCTTTGCATCTTCCCAGAAGTGAGCTGAGAGGTGGAGGGGGCCCAGGCCAGGCCCGAGCAGCAGCGTGAGCGTTTGCTGGACAGATTGAAAGGTGGCGCTTTGGGCCCCTTCCTTCTTCGTCCTCTGGGCAGGGCTCACTTTGTCCTCTGCAGCAGCTTTCAGTTCCACCCAGCCCTTGGCTCAGCTGTTTCCTGTCCCCTTTTTGTTTCTGACTTGTTGACGAAGCGTAGTGCAGTTTCTGAAGATCTTAGGATCGGAGAGGCGGGGTGGGGGGAAGTTCCTCCCCAAGCTAACTTCTTTTTTTCCTGGGGTGCTATCCTGGACCCTCCCCTCTCACATCACATCTTCCCGGGTGTGCTCGAGCCGCAGGTACTCGCCACTGTCCTGGGATCCTGCAGCCGTGGTCCCTGCGGGCCCCTCTCTGACTTCGTTTTCTCTTGTTTTAGTTTCAGAGCATCTCCTTACGGAAAATCCAGATTAACTTCCCCTATTTCCGAAGTGACAGGTACGGAAAGGTTAGGAATTAGATTTCTTTTTGAAAAAAGTTTGTTTTTCTGTCCCTGAGACCTGATACTTGCTCTCACTGGCTCATAGTCTCCCGGGCAGGGCAGGTGCCTGCGGAACCCGACATCAGAAAGGAGGTGGGCTTTGCGGAATTCTGAAAACAACCAGCACAAGGGCCAGGCTGGCATCATGGCTTGTATTTCATCAGGCCCTAAGGCCTGGGCGCATCTCAGGCAACGCATGTTAAAAATACGGCCGAGGGAGTCCACGGGCATATTACGAAGAATGCGTTTCTTATTCCAAAGCGATGTGTTTGGCCTGCCGCCTTTCTGGGTTAGAAGGTGCTCTTGTCAGTACTGTCAGCCTGTGGGGTTTCTGTGTGTTTCCTGCGCCCCTTACAAGGCCCAGGGTCCGAGCTGTCCACCTTCTCGTCTTGGTGTTTCTGCGAGTCACTGTTGCCTGCTCCTCTGCACGCAACCAGCTCTTCGATGTTTTCACTGATGCCATGGCTTTCTGGAAGGAACCTGGTGGAAATGCAGCCCAGCAGGACTGAGCGGGGGCTGGGGTTCCACGACGTCA